GTGGCTGGTGGGTTTGAACCGCCAGCCGTCTGGTTAGCAGGCAAGTGTCTTAGCCACTATGCTACCAGAGCTCCCATATATTGTATACATTATATATTATATAACACATCCTTTAATTATGTAGTAATTTAAATTAGCGTTGCCTTTTATTATCAGAATCTTTATAAATCCGATCTTTGTCTTTGGCATTAGAAACATTACATATAAAGTTATAGATATATTTGAATACATACATTAAAAAATGCACACACAATAAACATTTACTCTGATGATGAAGAAAAATTGGATGAGATTGGCGTTTTGGCAGCGTCGTAGTAACTCCACTACCGGAAGGTTCTGTATCATCTGGATTGTCCCCAGGGATGAGGATGTTGTTTCTAGTTAGAAAATTAGTGGCAGTTGTCTGTATAAACATTTTATTTTATATGTATATATATTTCACGATAACATCTCACTGCTTCCTGACCCTGTCTATTGACTTTAGCAAAGCCATCAGCATTAGGTTCCGTGTTTGCAAGCACTGAAGCGCTGCATTTAGTTTAGAAAGCTAAATCTATATGGCAGTGCTTTGAACAATAAATTATAAAATTGAACATCTGTGAGGTAACATCTGAGAAAGATAACATCAGCGAATTTCATGCTGCAATACATTATATGTAGTACATGTTACTAGTGATAAGACGCACAAAAAAATTAATGGGTGGTTATAAGTATGGTTCATTTCAATTCGAATACATCGTAGGTCAGAGACGACCTGAACTTATATTGCTGCTGTGGCACTTGCCATTTTGTGCTTTTACTTTTAGCTATTTGATTGTCTTATTTTCTTCACTTAGATTTCAGGATGCCTGAATCCATGGTTAATATATGAATCAACTTTCTATAGCTTACAATATCTTTTACATTGCCTTATAAGTAGCTGTTGTTGTTGTAATATGCCATCAAGTAAATTTTGACTCATAGTGACCCCTCCTTGGGTTTCCGAGATGGTATCACTATGGAAGTGGATTGCCTAACCTTCCTTCTGAGGAATGGCCAGTGAGTTTGAACCTCCAACCTTCTGGTTAGCAGTCAAATGCCTTAGGCACTACGCCACCAGAGCACCCTTATTAAATAGTAGAATCTCTCAAATATTTAACAACCAAACTAATCAAACTATTACTATTTAGAACTGTCAGAACACTTTTATTTAGTATGGTAAACAACTAGGAGCCCTAGTGGTGCAGTGGTTAAGTGCTCAGCTGTAATTGAAATGTCAGCGTTTCAAACCTGCTAGCAGCTCTGTGGGAGAAAAGACCTGGTGATGTACTTGGTAAAGACTTTGTCCTGGGAAACCGCATGGGGCAGTTCCACTCTGTGTAGGACCCTGTAGGGCCACTGTGAGCCAGAATCGACCCAACAGCAAAACCAACAATAATAACAACAGCAAGCTAAGTTCAATTATCTTTTATCCTATAACTGTGCTTTCAGTTACAAGAAGGGGAAGTAGTTGAAAAGATACTTTTAAAAATAAGTTTTTGTTTTTTTTTGGACACAGATCTCCCACACAAGTGAATAATTCATCGATGAAACCCCTAAGAGAACGTGTCCAGAAGTCAATACAAGAGAAAAAAATTAAGGTATAATTTAATGTACTATCATGAAAATGACCAGCCACTCCTCGGAAGGAAGGTTGGGCATTCCTACTTCCGAAGTGATACTGCCTCGGAAACCCAAGGAGGGGTTGCTATGAGTCGGGGCCGACTCGATGGCAAACAACAACAACATCATGAAAATGAAAATTATTCTATTTTTAGAATAAATATATATAATTGAGCTATATATTATAAATATACATTATATATAATAATAATATTAATTAAATAGAAAATGAGTTATGATTGTTGATATATAGACACTTCCCTTCTATGTAATCTTGACCAATCTGTCTCTGGTTTATTCAAGCCACTGAACCTGAAAGGAAAGGATTAAGTACCTGCTGTGCTAAGTGTGAAGTATCTGTTGAATGAGTGGAGAAAATAAAGAAGGTGTGGCTTTCCACTTACATTTCTAGTATTTTATACTGAACCTTGAGAAACTATGTAGATAGTGGCAGAGTATAATTAATTGTAGATTGAGAGTGGGATGACATTTCACATTTTCCATTGATTAGACCTGTTCTTTATATTTTCATTAGTTTTGAACAAACCTTTTCTGTCCTTATTCCTGTTATTAGTCAGAATTTTGTTTCTGCGAGATTTGAAATTTCTTTGGTCTTAATTTTCAAAAAGAAACATGGTCTTAATCTATTCATTTATTCAACATATATTTATTGAGTACCTGCTCTGTACTAGGCCCTGTTCTGTGGTTGGAAATTGATTCATACATTCAACAAACTTTTTATGTAAAATTTATAATAATTACCCTTAAATTAACATATGGTTATTTATTCTAATGCAGCTAAAAAGAGTACTCTAATGCATGAGATTTTTTTTTTTCCCATTTGAAATACAGTCCTAATGATCAGGGATTTTAATTATCGGAAGATGGGGCAATCTACTTCCGTAGTAATACTGCCTCAGAAACCCAAGGAGGGGTCACTATGAATCGGGTCCAACTTGACAGCACATAACAACAACGACAACAACATCTTTGTATTTGCTATTAGTAGCAAACGAACCAAACTCACTGCCATCACATCAATTCTGACTCATAATGACCCCCTTTGGTTTCCCAGGTGGTAAATCTTCATGCAAGTAGATTGCCCAGTCTTCCTTCCACAGAGTGGCTCCTGAGTTTGAGCTGCCAACCTTCTGGTTAGCAGTCAAATGCCTTAGGCACTATGCCATAACTAATGTCTGTGGAATACATCTTTGAATTTTACAAAGTTTTTCTTTGAATAAAATTTGTTAACTTTTTGTTAACATTATATTGATGTAAGTACTTGTAGTCCAAGAACAAGGAGCCCTAGTAGCTAATGCTTAAACACTCAGTTACTAACCAGAAGATGAGTGGTTTGAAACCGCCAGTGGCTACACAGGAGAAAAGATTTGATGATCTTCTCCTGTAAAGATTACAGCACAGAAAACTCTATGGGGTGATTTTACTCTGTCTTATGGGGTTGCTATGAGTTGGAATTGACTTGATGGTACACAACAAAAACGGTTTAAGGCAAGATATGTATGTATATAAACATATCCTTTGGACGTGCTGTTAAGAACAGAAAAGTAATAATTTGAGTGCTCTACTACTTTTCCCTTCTATGAATATTGATAAAATTTTTGATATTTTGATTTAAAGATAGCTGGAATATTTTGTTAGAACTAAGTAAATAAAAATGATTTTAAAAAATCCATCTGTAGAATGAAAAGATATTTATTTAAAGTTGTTAAGGGTGAACACATTATTATAAAATATATAGACAAATTTAGAATTTTTGGAAAGTAGGAGAGACATCGTCTAATCTGATCTCACTTACAAATGAGGAAATCAAGATCCTGGGAAGGCACCTCATCTAAGATCTTAAAACTTCTGTGAAATACTGATGGCAGTGTGCAAAATCATAGTTAAATACCAGTGAGATTATAAAGACATTGTTTCCATTACTTAACAGTAGAACTAGAGTAGTCGACATATATTTGGAGCAAAACTGCAGTAGAGAAGAGAAGGAATTGGCATTTATGAATATGTTTTACAGTACAGTACTCTTTACAAAAGCAAGTGTGAAAATAACTCGTTTTCCAGGTACTCAACTGAACCAAGAAAATAGCCAGGTAGAGTACTTGTTGGAAATAAAAAAAATGTTGCTAATGTTGTTGTTGTTGTTAGGTGCCCTCGAATGGGCTCCAACCCATAGCAGCCCTTTGTACAGCAGAACGAAACACTGCTTAGTCCTGTGTGAGCCTCATAGCCCTTTCACTGTCTGAGCCCGTCATTGCAGCCACTACGGTGGGCCATCTGATTGAGGGCCTTCGCCTTTTTCAGTGATCTTCCACTTTACTAAGCGTGATATCCTTATCCAAGGAGTGGTCCCTTCTGAAAACAAGATCAAAGTAGGTGAGAGGAAGTCTGGCCATTCTCGCTTCCAAGGAGCATTCTGGCTGTACTGCTTCCAGGACAGATTTGTTAGTTCTTCTGGCAGTCCATGGTACTTCAGTGTTCTTGCCAACAGCACAACTCAAAAGCATCAACTCTTCTTTGGTCTTCCTTATTCATTGTCCACCTTTCACCTGCATATGAGGTGATTGAAAATACCATGGCATGGGTTGGGCACATCTTAGTCTTCAAATAGACATCTTTGCTCTCCAGTACTTTAAAGGGGTCTTTTGCAGCAGATTTCCCCAGTGTAATACGACATCTGATTTCTTGACTGCAGCTTCCATGGGTGTTGATTGTGGAACCAAATAATATGAAATGTTTGACAACTTCAGTCTTTTCTCTGTTTATTGTGATGCTGCTTATTACTCCAGTTGTGAGGATTTTTGTTTTCTTTATGTTGGGGTGTAATTCATACTGCAGACTGTAGTCTTAGATTTTCATCAGAAAGTGCTTCAAGTCATCTTCACTTTCGGTATGCATGGCTGTCATCTGCATATCGCACGCTGTTAATGAGTCTTCCTCCAGTCCTGATGCCATGTTCTTCTTCATGTAGTCCAGCTTCTTGGATTATTTGCTCAGCATACAGATTGAATAAGTCTGATGAAAGTATACAGTCCTGATGCACTCCCTTCCTGATTTTAAGCCATGAAGAACAGATGTTCTGTTCTAATGACAGCCTTCTTGTCCATGTACAAGTTCTTCATGAACATAATTAAGTGTTCTGGAATTCCCATTCTTCCCAATGTTATCCATAATTTGTTATGATCCACAGAGTTGAATGCTTTTGCATAGTCAATAAAATATAAGTAAACATCTTTCTGGTATTTTTTGCTTTGAGCCATGATCCATCTGACATCAGCAGTGATATCCCTTGTTCCGCGTCTTCTGAATCCAGCTTGCATTTTTGGACATTTCCTGTCAATATACAGTTGCAACCATTTTTGAATTATCTTCAGCAAGATTTTACTTGCATGTGATATTAATGGGACTGTTCAATAGTTTCTACTTTCTGTGGGATCACCTTTCTTTGGAATGGGTACAAATATAGATCTTTTCCAGTCAGTTGGCCAAGTAGGTGTCTTCCAGATTTCTTGGCATAGATGAGTAAGTGCCTCCAGCGTGGCATCCATTTGTTGAAATATCTCAATGGGAATTCCATCAGTTCCTGGAGGCTTGTTTTATTTCACCAATTCCTTCAGTGCAGCTTTGACTTCTTCCTTCAGTACTATTGGTTCTTGATCATATGCCACCTCCTGAAATAGATGAGCATTGACCAATTCTTTTTGGTATAGTGACTGTATATTCCTTCCATCTTCTTTTGATGTTTCCTGCATTATTCAGTATTCTACCCACAGAATCTTTCAGTATTGCAACTCAAGGTTTGAATTTTTTCTTCAGTTCTTTCAACTTGAGAAATGCTGAGAGTGTTCTTGCCTTTTGGTTTCTTAACTCCAGGTATTTGCGCATTTCAATAGAATACTTTGTCTTCTCAAGCAGTCCTTCAAAATCTTCTGTTTGTCTCTTTTATCTTGTCATTTATTCCATTTGCATTAGCTACTCTGTGTTCAAAAGCATGTTTCAGAGTCTTTTGTGACATCCATTTTGGTCTTCTTTTCCTTTCCTATATTTTTAATGACCTTTTGCTTTCTTCATGTGTGATGTTCTTGATGTCATCCCAGAATTCATTCAGTCTTTGGTCATTGGTGTTTAATGCATCAAATCTGTTCTTAAGCTGGTGGTCTCTCAATTCACGTGGTATATAATCAAGGTTATATTTTGGCTCTCATGGAGTTATTTTAACTATCTTCTGCTTCAGCTTGAACTTGCATATGAGTACTTGATGGTCAGTTCCCTAGTCAGCTCTTGTCTTGTTTTAGCTGAAGATACTGAGTTTCTCCATGACCTCTTTCCACAGATGTAGTTGATCTGATTCCTGCATATCCCATCTGGCAAGGTACATGTGTATAACCACCGTTTATGTTGTTGACAAAAAGTATCTACAACGACTAAGTCATTGGTCTTGCAAAATTCTATCATGCAATCTGGGATCATTTCTATCAGAAAGGCCATATTTTCCAGCTACTAGTGATTCTTCTTTGTTTCTCACTTTTACATTCCAGTCTCCAGTACTAATCAATACATCTTGATTGCATGTTTGGTCAATTTCAGACTGCAGAAGTTGGTAAAAATCTTCAGTTTCCTCATCTTTGGCTTTGGTGGTTGGTGCATAAATTTGAATAATAGTCGTATTAATTTGTCATCCTTGTAGGCATATGAATATTATCCTATCACTGTCAGCATTGTACTTCAGGATAGATCTTGAAACATTTTTTGTGACAGTGAATGCCACACCTTTCTTCTTCAATTTGTCATTCCTGGCACAGTAGATCATATGGCTGTCTGATTCAACAAGACCAAAACCAATCCATTTCACCTCACTAATCCCTAGTATGTTGATCTTTGTGCATTCCATTTCATTTTTGACAACTTCCAATTTTCCTAGATTCATACTTTGTGCATTCAGTGTTCCGATTATTACTGG